TTTCTCCACCAAACCCAACTTCCTCACTAAGCTTGTGCCAAGGAACATGGCAAGATAAAAATGAAAAAAGAGTCTTCTGCCTCCAGGATAAAGACTTTGGTTTGAAAGCAAGCCCGTGCCTACCTCCTGTAACTACCACAGTTGTTTCTCAGTATTGACAACATGTACGTAAGAAGTTCAACTTGGCTAAAAGTTGCACATTACTCTAGAGAGGACCTATTAAGATGAAGGAGACCCAAATAAACCACAACAAAGGCTTCTCTAAAGATGATTTTAAGTTAAAACACTGAGGAGACTTTTGAGAAAGTGCTCAAAGCATTTCCTCTGCCCGTTGCAGATGCCAAGAATCAGCACACACGTTCACATCCTATTAGCTTTGATTTCCAATTCATGAAAACATAGCCCATCATTTTTTGCTCTTTTTTTTCTCAATATGTAATGACATTAACTCAGCCTTTTCTTCATAAATGTTCTCCTTTTCTTGGCTGTGAAATAGATTATCTCCTCTTTAATGACAAAGCCAAGACTAAAGTGAGGCACTCATCCTCAGCACAAAATTTAAGAGGGCATTAAAAAAAACTCAGTGATCAAGATAAATAATATTTTAATGTGATTTTTTTAAAACATCAAAATTAATGCCAGAAATATTCAGAGTGAGCAAATTAACCCAATATTAAATAAAGATGGCATCCGTGTTACTGATATATTGTTTTGTCTCAGGATCCCATATGGCTCTGCACAGCACTGGGAAATGATACTGACTTCTGGTATTTGATGTTTCAATATTCTTTCTATAGGTAGTATTCAGTACAAGCTAGAGGTGGTTTCTCCCAGGTAAGACTATATAATCTAGGGAGAATAAGAACGGAGACAGAGCAAGTATTGTGTCTTGTAGAATATATTGGGTACACCATGATTTTCCTTTAATTTGTTACAATTCTCTAAAGCATCACAAAATGTAATCTGTCAGCACCTTAATGTCCATCACACTGAGCAATACCAAGTAGGCATGGCTAGGACCTCCCTTCTCTGGTGGCTGACACGCTGCCATGCAGCATTTTAAACAAAGTCACTAGCCTGTTTGTCAGCCCCTCTCTTATGCTCTGAATGCTGTAAGGGCTGATTATCTGGAGATGGTAATAACATGACTTTTCAACAAAACACAAACAGCAATCATACAGTTAACACAAACTATGACCGTCAGGCAATTGTTATACTTAGCACAATTGCTTGAGCCATTAATTAGAGTATAGCGTTTCCTCTTGAGATAATGCTGATTAAAATGTATATACACTCTTCTGGAAGATAACTTCAGGGCTGATGGGAAAACAGCAAAGACAGATTTTTAAATAAATACCTTTGAAAAGAAAGGACATTTTTGTGCAGAGGGGAATGCTTGTCTCCCTCCCCTGCTGAGAGCTGAGTATCCCAGAGCCATTTTGTGGTTGGCTGGGCAAGTTTTTCGGAAAGATAAAAGAGATGAAGAGTGAAGATGACAGTCAGCTAGATTCTTAGTAGCTAACAAACAATTTTCTTTGGAGTTGACTTTTGCCTTCATCTTTTGTAATCACAGATACATAATTCAATGTGTTTTTATACAATATACATGCCATTTTCCCTGCAAACAGGTAAGAGAGCCAACTTTACCAATTAGTAAAATCCCCATATGCACTGGTTTGACTGACCCAGTGTGTACCTGGAAATCTCTGCTTCATGAGTTAGCTGGGCCTTTTTGGTCTTCAAATACTCATTAAACATTACAACTAGCTAGAACTCTCTTGGGGGTCAATGCTGTGCTACTCACTGATGACACAAAATGTAAGAAGTGAGTAAACAGCCATAGCTCACCCTGCCTTCTAGAATCTTGCCCTTTTCAAACTGTGCTGTGGGAACATCACCTGAAAGCTTGTTAGACCTGCAGACTCTCAGGCCTCACCCTAGACCTATTACATCATAATCTGCATTTTAACTAGATCTGCATGTAATTTTTTTTTTTTTTTTTTAGCTGAGGTCTCACTCTGTCACCTCAGCTTATCTCGAACTCCTGGGCTCAAGTGATCCTCTCGCTTCATTGTAACTGAATATTCTACCTTATTTTTTCTTATCAATTTGGGAAATTTCTATTGACATAATATTTTCTTGTGTTTTTTTTTTTTTTTTTT